AACAGCCCGACAGACACAGTTCAGACCGGACAGACCAGACACACAGAACCGACAGACAGACACAGACGCGACAGAACACACAGACGCGACAGACACCAGACCGACAGACACACAGAACCGACAGACACAACAGACCGACAGACAACACAGACCGACAGACATCACAGAACCGACAGAACACACAGACCGACAGACACACAAGACCGACAGACACCAGACCGAACACGACACACAGACCGACAGACACACAGAACCGGACAGACACACCAGACCGACAGACACACAGACCGACAGACACACTCGACCGACAGACACACAGACCGACAGACACAATCAGACCGACAAGACACACAGACCGAACAGACCACAGACCGACAGACCACACAGAACCGACAGACACACAGACCGACAGACACACCAGACGACAGACACACAAGACCGACAGACAACACAGACCGACAGACACACAGACCGAGCAGACACACAGACGCAGACAGACACACAGACGCGACAGACACACAGACCGAACAGACACAACAGACCGACAGAAACACACAGGAAGACGCGACACAGACACACAGACCGACAGACACACAGACCGACAGACACACAGACCGACAGACGACCACAGAACCCGACAGACACACGACGCGAACAGACACACAGACCGACAGACACACAGCACGCGACAGACACACAGACGCGACAGACACACAGCTCGACAGAACACACAGACGCGACAGACACCAAACCGACAGACACACAGACCCGACAAGACACACAAAGAACCGACAGACACACAGACCGACAGAAAACACTACAGACCGACAAGACACACAGACGCGACAGACAACACAGACCGACAGACACACAGACCGACAACACACAGCCCGACAGACCACACAGACGCGACGACACCACAGACCGACAGACACACGAACCGACATGACACACAGACCGACAGACACACAGACCGACAGACACACAACAGACGACTAGACCACAGACCGACAGACACACAGAAACCGACAGAACCACACAGACCGACAGACACACAGACCGACAGACACACAGAGTACCGGACAGAACACACAGACCGACAGACACAAGATACCGACAGACACACCAGACCGACAGACACAACAGACGACAGACAACACAGACCGACAGACCAACAGACCGACAGACACACAGAACCGACAGACACACAGACGACAGCCACAGACCGACAAGACACAACAGACCGACACACACACAGAACGCGACACACACACAGAACATTCCTCGTTCTTCCACTCGTGAAACAGGCAGTGAGGGAATCGTTTGCTCGACAAGTTTATCATCGGGCTGCGCTGCGCCGAAGGCGGTTTTCGCCGATGGACTTGTGACTACCGCGCTCATTCCGAGCTAGCGGCGAGCGCAACACTGGTGAGGCCCTTGTTCGGGCGCAAGCTCGCCAACCTCTACGTACGCGACAAAAGAGGGGAGACTTGAATTTTCATGACGCGAGCTGCAATTACGGGGTAACATTGGGGAAAGTTTTTATCTCGGTAAACTAAAGTAAATTATAGTTTTTGAATTTCTTGGTTCTTTTTATGCAATGTAGGCCGCAGTTATTCTACAGTGTAATTGTTTTTAATTATTAATTATTATTATTATTATTATTATTATTATTATTATTATTATTATTTTATATTCACATTTTATTCAAAGCACCGAAATCTAAGGTGTGACTGTGAGATCGGAGTCGCTAGGACAGACATGCAATAACTTTCACAATCTCTGTTTGTACAAGACTAACAGGCAGATGAAAAGGAGATAACACAAAGATTTTGTGAAAGACCAAACGTCCAATTCCTAAAAAGTTAGGACATGAAGTTTGAACAGACAATGTTAAAATTAATGAAAAATGACGTGGTTGTCTCTGTGACTTCCTTGCAGTCTGTCGGTCTGTGTGTCTGTCGGTCTGTGTGTCTGTCGGTCTGTGTGTGTGTCGGTCTGTGTGTGTCGGTCTGTGTGTCTGTGTCTGTGTCTGTCGGTCTGTGTGCCTGTGTCTGTCGATCTGTGTGCCTGTGTGTATCGGTCTGTCGGTCTGTGTGCGCTTTGTCTGTCGGTCTGTATTTTGTGCGGATGAGAATGTGTGTCTGTCGTGGATGGAAATGTTCGGTAGGATTATACTGGCGCAAGAAATATTCAACAATTTGAGTTAACATTTATAACGTCCAGAATGTCAATAAGCCGTAAATGTACCATAATTTTTCTACTGTTTTATTTAGTTCGGTTTTGGTGTCTTCATTTCTTTGATCATCTATTTGTCTTTCGAGTTACGATTTAAAATCGAACAATGTTTCTGAAAGGCATTTCCACAAACACTAATCTAAAAGGTTCATTTATTACAGAGCTTTGATGTATGGTGAGAGCGTAGGCTTCCGCGGCCGTAGTCAGTATTTACTAGGCTGTCCGGGTGACGGCGCGTCCATGGCGAAGGTGCCGTCGTTTCGGTCGCCATTCGCCCTGAGGAAGGTCGCAGAATGGCGACCGAAACGCCTTCGTCATGGACGCGGCGTCACCCGGACAGCCTAGTAAATATTGATGTATGGTGATTAGTCTCGTGAATGCTGAGCATGTTAAATTGCAGGAAATGGGAGTCTTCTTGCCAACCAGGATTCTTGTTAAGCCAATCATGATCCTTGTTAAACTAAATATGACCATAGTTGAGCCAACTATCATCCATGTTAAGAATATCAGTATCCTTGTTGAACCAACAATGATCCTTGTTAAGCCTACCGTGGTCCTTGTAAGCCAACTATGATACTTCTTAAGCCAACCATAATCCATAAATGGAAGCAATCGATCATGTGAGATCTCGACCCAGCAAGACGACAAAGTGAGGGATCGACCCAGCAAGTCGATCAAGTGAAGGAACGACCCAGCAAGTCAATCAAGTGAAGGATCGACCCAGCAAGTCGATCAAGTGAAGGAACGACCCAGCAAGTCAATCAAGTGAAGGATGGACCCTGCAAGTCGATCAAGTGGGGGATCGACTCAGCAAGTCGATCAAGTGGGAGATCAACCCAGCAAGTCGGTCAA